GTCTGCCCCCTTCTTTTGCATTTCTCCTCCCCACCCTCTCCCCACTTCCTCTCTCCCCATCCCATGCCTCCTCTCCCTCTGCTCTTCATCCTTTCCTTCAACCCTCCTCCTGTTCCTGTTCACCCCTCTCCTGCTCTGTCTTGTTATCCCTTCCACCCGTGGCCTCCATACTCCACATCCAGTCCTCTCTGCTCCAGGCTTCGGAAGCCGGCGCGCCCAGCCCCACCCTCCCCGGTAGAGCAGGTGGGAAGAGAGAGACAGGCAGAATTGTCTCTGGGTGAACACTCCCCTCGCCCTATTTTTAAGTTCTCCTCCTCCCGCTCGAGCTTGTAGACTTGTGGAAGCACCTCCAGTTCTCCATGAGAACTGTGTTCATGGGCGTGCGTGCCAAGGAGCGTCCCTGCCACCTCCCTGGCAGCCCCTCAGCCCGTGAAGCAGGCACCAGGGAAGGGATGGAAACAGGTGACTCTGGAGCTGGCAGTGGGCATTGAGAGGGCGTTAGTACCCTTGACCCGGGAAGGGAGTATGGCCGAAGCTCCCAAGATGAGGTCACAGTCCTCAGGAGAGCTAGGGAGAGTTAGGGGAGACCCAGTGATGTTCCTCGGCTACACACCACAGCCTCAGCACAGCTGGTAATATCTTGACCCCCATCTTGCATACAGGAAGGGTTAAATAGGTTGCCTAAGGTCACAAAGCTATCAAGGGGCAGGAGAAGCCATTGATCCGGTGGCTCTGGGGCAGATCTGTATACTTGTCTCCTTTTCTTGTCGACCTCAGTCCCTTTCCTCGGCTCTCTCTGTTTCCCTTCTGCTCAGAAGAGCAGTCTTGTAGTTTAGACGCACAGAATGTTAAACACAAATGGCCCTTAGAAATCATATAGTCTAGGGGCGCCTGGGTGGCTCAGTCAGTTAAGCGTCCAGCTTCGGCTCAGGTCGTGATCTCATAGTTCTTGGGTTCAAGCCCCGCGTCAGGCTCTGTGCTGACAGCTCAGAGCCTGGAGCCTGCTTCGGATTCTGTGTCTCCCTCTCTTCTGCCCCTCCCCCACTCATGCTTGCCCGTGCTCGCTCTCTCTCTCTCTCTCTCTCTCTCTCTCTCAAAAACAAATAAAAATTAGAAACCATATAGTCTAGTGCTGTTATTTTAGAGACACAGAGGCTGGGGGGCCTGGGGTGGAGACCCCATGGCCAGTCAGCAGTAGAACCAGAAGCAGGTCCTTCCCTCATGCTCTGCCGCAACCTCCAGGTCATTTCTTGCGCAACATCCTATGGCCCCGGGAGGGAACAATGTATTCAGTTTCTGGAGGAAGAGAGATTCATCAGGCTTAGAGGGATGGCTTTGTGCTTAGAATCTGATGACTGTTTAGTCTCCTAATCCAGGAACTCTCATAAACCATTCACCTCCAAGCACAGGATCTAGCTTTTGGAGCTGCTGGGTTCAGAGTCCCTGAGGGAAGTCTGCTGACTGTGGAGACCCCACACATGGTATCAATGTGGACAGACCCAGGCTGTAGCCAGAGGGTTCCTCTGACCTTGGTCGTGATGATGATGATGATGATGATAATGATGATAGCATCATCCCAAATGCCTTCACATACTTTACCTTATTTAATCTTTAAAAGACCCTGGGGGTGGGAAGGGGCATGACTTGATGGCTCAGTCAGTTAAGCAGCTGACTTTGGCTCAGGTCATGATCTTGCGGTTCGTGAGTTTGAGTCCCGCATCGGGCTCTGTGCTGACAATTCAGAGCCTAGAGCTGTTTTGGATTCTGTGTCTCCCTCTCTCTCTGCCCCTCCCTCGCTCACGCTCTGTCTCTTTCTGTCTCTCTCTCTCTCAAAAATAAACAAACATCAAAAAAAAAAATTTTTTTTTTTTTAAAAGACACCAGAGGACTGCGGTAGGTGTTATTCTCCCATATTACAAAAGATAAAGGAAGGGGGCACCTGGGTGGCTCAGTCTGTTAAGCATCTGACTCTCAGCTCAGGTCATGATCTCACAATTCGTGGGTTTCAGCTCCGTCTTGGGCTGAGCTGACAGTCTGGAGCCTGCTTGGGATTCTGTCTCTCCTTCTCTCTGCCCCTTTCCTGCTTACTCTGTCTCTTTCTCTCTCTCGCTCTCACTCTCGCTCTCTCTCTCAAATCAATTAATTAATTTATTTATTTATTTATTTTAAAAAAGATAAAGAGGGGCGCCTGGGTGGCGCAGTCGGTTAAGCGTCCGACTTCAGCCAGGTCACGATCTCGCGGTCCGTGAGTTCGAGCCCCGCGTCAGGCTCTGGGCTGATGGCTCGGAGCCTGGAGCCTGTTTCCGATTCTCTGTCTCCCTCTCTCTCTGCCCCTCCCCCGTTCATGCTCTGTCTCTCTCTGTCCCAAAAATAAATAAACGTTGAAAAAAAAAAATTTTTTTTAAAAGGTAAAGGAAGGCTCTTCAGAGAGCTTTAATTCTTGCCCACCTAGCGGACCTAGCAGCGAGTGGTGGTGCCAGAGCTGGACCCCAGGCCTCCTGACTCTGGAGTCTCATCAGAGCCACACTCCCGTCTCTGACTAGCTGGTGGGCTTCTCTTCCCTACCTCCCCCTCCAGAGCCTGGCCAGCCGGCTCAAGGAGAACATGGAGAAGCTGACTGAGGAGCGGGATCAGCGCACAGCAGCTGAGAACCGGGAGAAGGAGCAGAACAAGAGGCTACAGCGGCAGCTCCGCGACACCAAGGAGGAGATGGGCGAGCTCGCCAGGAAGGAGGCCGAGGCGAGCCGCAAGAAGCATGAACTGGTAACGTGCCGAAACTCGCAGGGCCCCCAGCAGGCAGCTGTCTGGGTGCACACCTCCCCTGGGCTGGGGTGGGGGATGGGCCACAAAGAAACCAGAGTTTAGATCTCTGGAAGGAAGAGGAACACGTCCCGAAGCCAGGCCAGAGGGCCGGGGGCAGTGCCCGAGTCTCCATCTGGAGCTCCATGACGCCTCCATGGCGCTCCTTCCCGGCCTGGAGAGACTTGCAGCAGGTTTTCTCTAGAGCAGCCAGATAGAGACTGGCCCTCCGGTGAACTCGACTGCCCCCTCTCCCTCCTAGGAGATGGATCTGGAGAGCCTGGAGGCCGCTAACCAGAGCCTGCAGGCCGATCTCAAGCTGGCATTCAAGCGCATTGGGGACCTGCAGGCCGCCATCGAGGACGAGATGGAGAGCGATGGGAATGAGGACCTCATCACCAGGTGAGGGGGCCTCTGTGGCAGCGGCGGCCGCACCGAGGCCCTCTGACCACCTGTGGAGCAGGCCATGAGGTAGAACAGCTGCAGTCTCTGTCTCCCTGCCACTGAGCCACCAGCCCACCTTTCCCTCATCGCCAGGCCCCAGCATGGACCCTGTCCTGTAATGACCGAGGGCAGGACCGGTGCTGCCCGGGTGAGATGCCCTCCCTCCCCCTCCCTGTCCTCCCTCCTCAGGCCTCCCGGGAACCTGGCTCTCCAGCTCTGCCTGTTCACAATGAGTTATTCCCCCGTTTAGCTGCATTTCCGATGGCGCCTGCCCTACTCTGGGGAAAGCAGAGATTTAAGGCCCGTGGTACCTTGTTACCATGCCAGAGATTTTCTCTCATAAAACCCACCCAGGGAATGGTTTCGGAGAGAGAGATTTATAGTCCTAGGCTCAGGAAGAAGTCACCAGGCAGGTAGACCAGCAGTTCTAGAGGGTGAGGGTCAGGCCCTGGAGAAACTCCGAAGGCTGCCTTGGGCGGACCCCCACCCCCAGACCTGCCCCCTTCCCGCTTGAGCGCTGATGCCCCATCCTGCAAGTGGGTCCTGGCCCACATAAGAAGCCTGCTCCTTGGGGGCAGAGAAAAAGTGCCCCGGGGCGGCCCAGACCTCCCTCTGAGGATACCCTGTCA